AGGAGTGTCCGCAGGCAGTGGAGGGTGCGCAGAGCAGTGAAAGCGCTGCTTACGGTAATACCCTTTGCCTCTTGGCCGGTTCGGTGTACATGTGGAAGTTCCCGGCGGGGAACTGCCCTGCACCCCAGCCAGCGGCGGGCACAGACGCTGTCGCGTTCAGGTTGGCCTGTACGGCGGCCGCAAACAGTGCGCTGCACAATCTGTCGAAGAGCGAAACAGTCACCATCAGTCCAACTGAGAATCCACTGGGCGCTTCAGACGATTGTGAGCTCCCAAACTTCAGCCAACCCGCGGCTGAAGTGCGGTCTGGACCCCAACAATTTTCAGGACAACGGCAACCAGCAGGCCCACAACAACAAAGACCCTCAAATGCAGCAGCAGCGTCTTCTTCGGCGTGAACTCATGACGGAGACCGTGCGGGGAATGGGGGCTCCACTGCTACTGTTGGGGAGCAGACAGACAGCGCGGAGCGAGGCGGAAGTCGGGGACCATCGGCAGAAGGTTCTCGGGAAACACCAACGCCATCGGCTGGCACTGCGGCTACGCCAACACAGACGGCAGGCGACAGGGCAGCAGATGGAACGACGACGACGACCACCCGCAGCCCGAGTGCTGGGAGCGACGCGAAAAGCAACGCGGACGGCAGTGCCACCAACAGCAACACCACTCAGAAAGCCGTGGCAAATGCTGCGGATCGCAGTGCCACCTCCACTTCGTTTGTGCGTGCGCCTCTCATGCTGCTACTCACGGCCGCCCTTGCCTGCGCTGCTGGGTAAGTGGTGAGGAGCAAAGGATACACACCCACACACCCTGGCAGGGGCGACGCCTAAACATTGTGCGCTCATTTTGCGTGTCTTCCCTGTGGGTCAATCCCTGACTCTCTCCTGTGCTCTGAGGGATGGTTTTTTTTCTTGCTTCGCCACTCCATGCACGTTCCCGCGGGCGGCGCACCCTTTTCCCCCTCTTGTTTGCTGCCGCCACACACATACACACACGCGGTGCCGGCCGCATTGCTGTGCGCCGCACGGATTTTGACGCAACTGAAGTGTAGAAGTGCAGGCCGAACGCCGCATGAAATGGGCGAAGGATGTGTGGGCTCCTGCAGCATGGGCGATGTTTTTTATTCGTGCAGGTGTTAAAATAAACATGCATCTCTCACGGTCCTCTTGTGCTGCTGGACACGTGAGGTGAAGGAACAACACCTGCCGAAGTAATTTATTTTTATATATTTTTCTTTTGGGGTCCTGCGGGGATGACTCACATCTTTTCCGTCTCTTCTTTTCCTTTTTTTCTTTTGCGGCCTGGGCGATGCTCACCGCTGCCGTGTGGGCCCCAGCGCCGCTGTCGCCACTGCCGTATGGGGTAGTGCCGTTCTGTGGGCCGCTTCTATTGTAAGTGTTTCTTCCGTTTTGCCTTTTTTTTCTGCTACTGCTTCTCCCACACACGCCGAAGGAAAAGAGAGGCCAAACGCTGCAGCTTGCTGCCCCTGCTGTTCGCCTTGAGGGCTCCGCAGTTAACAACAGCAATCAACACACACACACACACACGCAACCGTCGCGGCCTGCGTGGACCTGCCGCGAGGAGGGAAAGAAGAGGGTGAGAGTGAGCAGCGGCACGACATGTCCCTGCACTGGCTTTCCTCAGCGGTGCTGCTGCTCTTTTTGTTGGTGTGCTGCGGCGGCAGTGGGGCCGGGGCCAGCGCTGCGGGGACGCGGGAGGCGTCGAAGGAGGTGGAGCTCTTCAAACCAGGGGAAACTCCAGTGTTTGCTGCTGGAGAAGAGAGCTACAAAGACCGTTATGAAGGTGTCTCCTCTTTCTACAGTCACTCCCTTCTTGACGTGAATGGGGTGCTGGTTGCGCTTGCATTCGGCGAACACAGCGACAGTGACAGCAACACGCGCCCTGAGATTTGGGCAAAGTACAGTGCGTACGGGGCAGGTGTGAAGATGAACGAAGGCGCTGCATGGGACGGAACGGAGTGGAAGACGCAGCTTGTGACCAAGCGACCGGAAGCAGAGGGCTACCTTGTATCGCTGCTTGGCCCCAGGGCTGTGGGGAAGGGCAATAAAATACATCTGCTTCTGGAAAAAAGAAGAGCGACCATACAGTCTTTGCAGCGCGATCCTGGGTGGGGCCCTGCGTTGATTGTTGGTGAGATTCAGGGGTCCGTGGAAGAGCGGGAAGAGCAACGAGTCTCGTGGAGGGCTCCCCGGCTGTTGGATTCCATGCTTGCCGGACAGATGCAGCAGCAATCGTGGGAGGTGCTGGAACCCGCGAGTATGTCCAGAGGCGTCGCGGTTGGGGACGCAACGGTTCTTTTCCCTCTTGCGGGATTCATCAACGACGGAACAGACACACTTGCCTGCACCGTCATGCGCTCCGAGGACAATGGGGGCAGCTGGAAGCTTCCTGCGGCGCCTGTGATTGCTGAGGACTGTAACTCTGCCACGCTTCTCGAGTGGGAGGGGAAACTCCTCATGGTCACCTCCGGATCTTCTCAGTGGCGGCGCAGGGTCTTCGAATCCGGTGACGAGGGGAAGACGTGGAACGAGGCTGCCGGGCCCTTCGCACGCCTGTTGAGTGACGCACACGCATTGCCTCTGCTCGACTCTCCTGACGCCCTCATGACTGCGACCATCGCGGGCAGGAGTGTGCTGCTGTACACCACGCTGTCGGAGCATAGTGTTGGGCGCCAAACGCACCACTTCCTCCACCTGTGTCTCTCCGACGGTGCTCGGACCCACGATGTTGGGCCAATATCTACTGCGGATGATGCGGGCCACGCCCCCTTCAGCTCGCTGCTGTACACAAGAGATGATTTGTTTGCCCTCTACTCGAAGAAAGGCCCAGGTGAACGCTCAGACATTCTTGTTTTTGCGCGCCTCTCGTAGCAGCTGCAGCGCATCAAGACCGTGCTGCAAACTTGGAAGGATGTGGACGCCAGAGCCGCAAAGCTCTGCAGCCTCGCCGCCGCCACCCGCTCTGCTGTGAAGGGCGCCGCAGAACCCGCTGCTGCCTGCGTCGGTACTATGCCAACGGACGGGCTGGTTGGGTTCTTGTCGAACAATGGCAACAATACTCACTGGAATGACGAGTACCTTGGGGTGGGCGCCACGGTGTTTGGAGCAACGAAGGTTGCCAATGGCTTTGCGCTGGCAGGGCGTGGTGCATCGATTGTGTGGCCGGTGGGCAGAGGACGGCGGAATCCCGGGCACGGTTCTGTGGGCGAGGAGGTGACCCTTGTGGCGACGGTGACCATCAACAAGGCGCCACAGGGCGTCACCCCAGTGTTGGGCGTGAGGACAGCGGAGACTGGAATGTATCTGGGGCTGTGGTACGACGAGCGGAAGCGCTGGAGGACGGAGTTCAGAGAAGGAGCGGATGCACAAAGAATGACGTGGGAGGAGGGGAAGGCATACCGAGTGGTGCTCACGGTGGAAAACGGCACGGGCTCGGCGTACGTCGACGGGCAGCTTGTGGGGAGTTTGGAGGATAAACCTCCATTTACTGACGTGTTTCCTCCGCCTCCGCCTCCGCCTCTGCCTCTGCCTCCTCATGAGCAATTTCAGCATGAGAGGGTCTCGCACATCTTCGTTGGGGAATACAGGTACGACGAAGTAAACGCAGAGTTCCACGTGACGGTGACGAACGTCTTTCTGTACAGCCGCTGCTTCAACGCCAGTGAGGTTGCGGCGCTGGAGAGGAAGGAGGAGGAGGCCAGCGTGACGGAACCGGAGGCGGTGCCGCTTCGCACCGCCGCATCCGCTGTCAATGACCCGAAGAACTCTGCGCACGACGAGGCTGCAGCAGCTGGCGGCGTGGCGGAGGGGCCGCCGGTGGCAGCCGGCACTGGCCCCGCGACGACCGACGCGGCTGGGAGTTCTGCGGGGGATGCGTCGGTGCCGCGCGGTGCACCGGCGCCGGGCCTAAACAACGCCTCCGCCGCACTCGCAAAGGAGGCTGCGGGCACAGTGCAGAGGGAGGCTGGCGGCGGCGACGGCACTGCGCGTGGGAGTGTGTCTGCGGTGCTCTCGCTGCTTATGCTTGCGCTGTGGGGACTCTCCGCGCTGTGCTGAGCGGCGGTGGCGTTGCGGGGCA